CAACGCCGATGTGTAGACACTGTCAAACTTCGTTCCCGCTTTGAACATAGGGGTGTTTGATGCCCTCCATGCAACTTAGCCTCAGGGTCGAAATAGACAAGGGGGTCTTAGGTTCCAAGTGATGTTTGGGCACTAAGACTGCTGGGGTGAAATTCTAAACAAACGACACCCCAAACATTAAAACCCAAACTCAACCCAAAACCCCAACCCTAAATCCTAAACCCTATATATACATCCTAAACCCAAATCAGACCGTGCGAAACCTGTGCGATGCGCGTGTCTAAACCCTCAGTAAACCCTAAACCCTAAACCCTAGCCTAGGAACTCGGGCCTAGTGCAAACGGCTCCAGCTTGTTGGAGGCCCTAACCTAGGCTGTTCAATATCTCTGCCCTTCTCAGATGGTTTAGGGTTTTAGGGTTCAGGATAGGCCGCAGAAGAAGTTTAGGGTTTAGGGTTTAGGGTATGATCCATCTAAGCTTGCTGGTTGTTAGTGCCTATTAGGAGGGAATGAAGAAGTGGAAGAGAACTTGGCAACCAACTAGTACGTTATTGGGGGTCATATAGGCGTTCCTGGCCGGATCCATTCCTCCAAGCAGGCAGTAGGGCTTCATGAAGGGATTAAGGGTTTAAGGACTAGGGTTTAGGGACTAGGGCTTAGGGTTGTTGATTGTCGTGCTTACTTTGCCTTCCACGCTGGATTGATTAGGTAGGCTTCGGATGCGAACGGGAAAGTGACTGTGATTGGTGACAGAGGTCTTTTTGGTCCCTAGCAGGCCTTTAGCAAAGCGGGAATGTAACGGTGGTGGGGTTTAGTGTTTAGGGTTTAGGGTTTAGCAGGGGTCTAGCGGCAAACGCCTCATGGACTTTTGCGACGGGAGTAGTAAGTGGCGTCCGGCTCATACACAGATACGCTGGTTACTGGCCTAGTAGGTTGGGCGTGGCTACTACTTCAGAAGCTATCTGTCTGGAATCTACCCCGAACCTTGAATCCCCTACCACGCAGCAAGGTGAACATGTTAGCAAGAAAAGTGATAGGAATCATGTAGGTAGTTCCCAGAATTAGGAACCTATTTTGGTACGCCTAAATATTAGGTGCCGTAATATAGTCTATAACCAAAAGGGGGCCCATATTGTTGAGAATAACCCACGTGTTTCAGGGGCTCAGGGGGTGGAGACTTGACAATCCCACATGTCCGGGTAGAGGCTGTTTTGGCAGAGTCTTTTGGTGTTGTCATCGCTCACTTATGAGGTTTGACCAGAACCCTAAACTCTAAAACCCAAAGCCAAGTCAATTAAGAGCCATTGACACTGAACAGCTGGCAAGAAAGCGCAGGGAACAATACAACTCGCGCTTTGAGGAAAAGATCAGCTTGGAGTTTCAAAGTCATTCTACAACCCCAAAGTTTCGGGTTTAGGGTTTAGGGCTACGGGCTAGGGTTTAGGGTTTAGGGTTTAAGGTGTAGGGTCAAAGGCTTGGGAGTTATAATGGACTCATCACACGGGGTTCATGGGTAGTTGTACGTGGGCTTATATGAGAGCGAGCACTTATGACCGCCCACCCGAAACCCTAAACCCTAAACCCCTAAACCCGAAACCCTACAGCCCTAAATCCTGAGGATCCCTACCTTTTCAACCTCAACATCTTCAACCGCCATTCATGAACACATCAGTATCCATCACACAACCTAATGCCTGACTCGAACCTCTCACGGGCTTAGGCTTTAAGATCCTAGCCTGAACCAGGACCCACCTTGCACCCTTGAATCGAACTAAGTTTCCTCCTGGGCCCCCTGGGTCGACAAGGAAAGCTTCAAAATTGTTTCGGGCTATGTTTCAAGGTTTTCTCTGGGATGTCAGTAGAACGCATACATCAAATTTAGAGCCGTGGCATTTCTGAAGCTGCAGCTACAGAATCTTAACAAGGTTCCGAAAGCTCCCTACAGTCTATTAATAATCCGCCGCCCCTCCCCCCATCCCCATACGCTGAGCCTGAACACGCTAAACCTAAGATCCTGAACCCCAAATCACCAATCTTCTAAACTACCAAGCCCCACACCATGTTGCCGGGTTTGCAACCCGATGCACGCTGAGTTCTAAGCTCCTGGATTTCCGCTGGTTTCTAGAGAGGAGGATGATTTTTGTTAACTGGAGGTCCCTCCTTGGGTCCCTTTACAAGGTTTAGGGTTTAGGGTTTAGAGTATGCTGGGTCATTTAGATGCAAATGGTTTCTGGTTTGACTGGCTTAAAAAAAACTCTGTTGTAGAGTCTTGCTATTGCTCCCATCATCCACATGTAATCCCCATGTTTCCCTAGGAGCCTGTCCTTCGCTCGAAGTGTCCGCTAGAAACCTGCGCCCTCCCAAGACCCGGGTGACTTTGAGAAAGAAACTTGGGTGCCGGCAAGCTGGACTTGCATTGTTGTCCAGGTAATGATAAACCTGCCTCTCCACGGCGCATAACAATACTCAAGTCCCAGACCTAGCGGGAGTGCACATGGACCAGGATTCAGATGCCTACAGACGCACCATCAGATGAGCAGCACTCTTTGGGAAGTCCTCCTCAGAGCTAAAGCCATGATGAAGTCTGCATATCTCAGAGTGCAATACAAAGTTTCGAATTTGGCATGCAACCCCGCCCAAGCCCACACCCCAAACTACTGAGGGGCTCCAAGAAAGTTGCATTTTAGGGCTGTTATACTTGTTGAGTCAGTGTTTGAGTATATATAGTATACCACCCACAAAGGCACAAAGGCCCCAGATGAAGCCGAATGTCAATTCAATGCCAACAAGCAAACAAATGGTTTCTTGAAAATTGTAGCCGGGACAATGGCCCAAAGCTTGGCCGACGGAGAAGGCCATGGGAAGCAGGTTTCGGCTTGTTCGTTTCAAGGCTTATCCCGCTTAAGTAGATAGAAGCTAGGGCTTTAGAGTTTAGGGTTATAGTCCCCCTTAAGTAGATAGAATATGGCTTTGGGTATATTATAATAAGATCTCCATATACCTCTTATTCTATCTACTTAAGGGGGGCTATAGGATTTGGGTCGGGAAGGGCTTATAGGGATGTGGTTCAGCAGGGTTGTGGGCGCAGGGGTGTGGATTTATATGTGTACTTTTGCGACGGAGGTGCTGAGCTTGTTTAGTTGTTTCTTCTTCGGGTGGGTTATGATTCATCGCCTTGGTTTGGGCAAACGGCCTGTGAACTTGATTGGGTTGAGCGCCTTTTGGGTTTTCCTGTGAGCTTTGATTTTGCTTGTTGGCTGGTTTGGCCTGGCCGTTCTTATGGCTCGTGATTTCTCAGGTCTCGGAGTTTGCTGTGTTGATGGAGGATGATGGAGGATGTTTCAGGGTACCACATGTACAGCACCATCGCACCCGGCTGCTGTTATTCCGGTTTATGGTAGACGAACAGTAGAGTTTCGCACCTACTAGAATTGGCATAAAGGCCTCTAGGAAATGGGTTCAGACGTCCGCAGCCTGCATACCCCTACCTATGGTCAGCAGTTAGCAACTTCTGGTATGGTATTATAGTATACCGGGGGTCATGCAGGATCTTGGCCATCATCAGTAGTCAATTTCCACATGCGGACCGTTTTTTCTTGCAATCTAATTGCTCACGAAGATGGAAAGTCAACTAGGTTCAATTTAGCGTCTGGGTCTTTTGAGATACGTTTGTCTGCGGACAGCTCCTTCTTCATGCAGTGGCAAGCGTTCTCTTGCGTGTAGCAGATGGCACGTGACGTGGAAGCATTTCCTGGGTAGTGTATGTTATACGTTGTCCGAAAAGTCAGCGGGACACCCCACGCAGGGACTCTTGCCTAATTGCTTGTTGGATCTTGTTGGTTACGTTCTGCTTTTTAGGGTAAGGGGTTACACTACAGTGTTATCCCGAAAGACGAACTACGTAGGAGCTCCAGAGAAAATCCTGATATACTCGCAGTTTAGGTGACCCGATGTGTTTCCCAAAGGGTCCATGTAGCTGTATAGTATATACTTGGGCGCCAAAGTAGGTAAATGGGAAACTTTTTGGTTTGTAAGTATATACTACATCCCTACATGAACCCTTACGGTTTTGTTGCTTCTGAGACTTCTGAATCCTGCCGTGTGTGTGCCCGTGAGGCGCGTGTCTACACCCTGAACATGCTCCCAGTTTGGGGCATCCGCCATTACAGTAACAGTTACAGGTTATCTGTGGGAATGTTTAATTTGTAGTAAACCCATAACAAGCCACTTACGGACAATCACTGTGAGGGGGAAAGACGCAACTTACCTTGGTGTGCTAGCCGCCGGCATCTGCGCAAGCCCCGCGTGATCCCCAGAACGCCTCTCTTAAAAGCGTTCTGGCGCCATGGGGGCCTGCTGCAATGGGCTGGCCCAGGCGAGTGGCTCCAAATGTTGGTTTCCAAATATTTGGTGTCCCTTGAGAGCTGATATGGGGCTTACAGAGCCACGTCTTGGAGGTCCCTGCAATAAGGAAAATAGTGAAAAGGGGTCGGAATTGGGTTCCCCCCCTTTATGGAAACAACCAAAACATGGCTTGGGAGATTCTAGGGTGTACCTTAACCCTGGGCCCTGGGGCTCTAAGTATGTAAAACGGAACCTGCATCAGGGACCGAAGCTTCAAAATGGGACCTACATTGTTGCCTGAGGGAAATGTGTTGTGATGTGGGGTTATGACAAAGTATCTGGCCTTCCAGATTACACTGGCGGGGCCTAGTGAACGAGAGGGACAACTGCAGCGGCATTTATTGCACTTATCATATGCGCGCTCCTGCTTTCTGCCAGTATTTTCCTGAGGGTTACTCTTGGCATGCCCGATTCACCCAACATCCTCCTTTTCAATGATATACCAGTTATCATGAGCGGCAGAACCTTCAAGAAGTTCTGCATCCTGTTTGCGTTGTCAAATGTTTCCACCGTCCAAGAACTAGCGAACGCAAACACCTTGCTTTCAAGGATCAGGACAAGGCCAAAGTGCATGCCCTGACGCTCTCGTGCAACGCGATGTCGCCGGTGCTCTTTGCACTAGACACTGGAGTTGGCGTGTGCCCTAATATCATTGGCAGTTCTTTGGTGTGTCCGTTATGCAAAAATGTTTGAAGGAGCAACACCTGCTGACTAGTGGACCAGCCGTAGGCTCCACGCACTCTACGGCCCCAAAGCCGTGTCACACCAAAAGCCTTAACCGTATCCATGCCTGAACCCGACTGTGTCCCTAATTTATCCGCGAATGATAAGCATTCCACAGCGTTGGCAAGTAAAATGCAAGTGGTACATAGGATCATCAGCAAGTGCTGAAGGAACAGAAGGAACATGTCCGAGTACCTTGCTCTCAGAAGTAATGTTAGCTGTTGAGTACATGGCTGGGTTTGCTACAGACCGCATCGGAATATGAGCCCACGTTTTTAGACTTCATAAAAACAGGGGAATTTCATAACAAGAGTATCCTCTCACTTAGTTCAATCACCAAACACAGGCCACAGATCTGAGTCTCTGAGGTTCGAGTTCTGTGACCTCATGGCTGGAGCGCATTTGAAGCCTGCATTCTTGGAGAAAAACCCGTTCCACACCATCCCAACATATGAGGGCAAGGAGCCAGCATTCATCTGGGTTGCTCTTAAGGAATTTAGACTATATTACCATAATACGGGAATAAAGTACTGTAAATGAAAGGGGGTTCCTCATTTTAGTAACCTAACTTAAGTTCCTTAACAGCCACCCAGTCATCTTGCTTGCTGCGGGGTGCAGGGCTTAAGGGGTTCAGGGGCTGACGGGTGCAAGATTTCTATATCCTGGACTTGGACATCAATAGTTTGTTGTTTGTCCTTCTGTTGTGTGCTTTGTGCTTTGGATTTTCCGAACTTGAAACCCGAGGAGATGCCCCTGCACAGTGAACCACATTTGTTGTCACCCAGGCCATGTGCAAGAACTCGGTGTGCAAAGCCAGGTTTGACCAAGATCCCAACTAAGATGATTGAGCTTTTTGCAGAAACCCTCATGGCCAAAAATGATCCCGAAGGGGTAAGCCCTACACCCTAAAGAAGGACGGCTACATGCTGGGAGAGTCCAACGCCATTTTGCGTGCCTCACCGGGCGATAATTAGATTTATGGTTTAGGGTTCAGGGTTTAATCGGGGCTTAGAGCTTAGGGCCTGCACTTGGTTGAAATTGGACCCCTAAACCCTATACCGTCAGTCCTAAACCCTTAACCCCATGCAGGCCTTAAACCCTATAAATCTTAAACCCTTAAGTGGGACGTTTCGAATCTTTCTGTTTCTCGCATCTCCGCGGGTTTCTAAGGTTGGCCATGTCTTGGCAAACTTCCATGTAAGAGTTTCTCAGAGCCATGCAGTTGCTGCTCATGCGAGCAGTATGTTTTCATGGGGGTTACTATAATCCCCAAAGCTGGGTTGCTGTTAAGGACATTAAGCTCACTGTGGGTATAGAGTAAATGATAGGGCCTCCTTGTTATAGTAACTTAATTTAAGTCGCTTAACAGCAGCCCAGAGAAAGCTATCATCGCCTCTGCTTTTGAGGTGTTGTATTTGAAGTCATACCCTTTCAGCTACTGGAAAAGGGTCTTCTCTTCCCAGTCACCACCCATAAAACCCAGACACTAAAACCAGAACCCCCTAAACCCTTAACTCTGAACCTTTAACCTTAAACCAAAAGTCTAAACCAGGCTACATGGCGGCGAAGTACCGGCCCGAGTACTACCCGGACGGCGACGCAAAGATGCGTGCCCGCATCGACTGGGCCATGGATGCCAAACCGCAAGATATTGCATTTAGGGTCTAGGGTTTGGGGTTTGGGGATTAGGGACCCTAAGCCCTAAACCCTAGGGGTTTTGGGGTTTAGCGTTTAGGGTTTGGGGGGAGCCTAACGGTTAATCTACTCTGGGTGTAGAGCTCAGGGGCATACAGCTCGGAGGATGCCAGGGTTCAGGATTCGGGTGGAGTTTTCAAAAGAAAGGAGGGTTTAGGATTTAGGGCTTCATGCACCCCATAATGATGCAATTCCCATCATACCCTACGAGTCCAAGTACCCAATAATCATATACTCCCCCCAAAACCTGTACTACAATTACTATCACCCAAAACCCAAGTACCTAATTATTGGGTACTTGGACCCTCTGGGATGTGCAGTTTAGCTTCTCTTTGTTGCACACCAATGCCTGATCGTCGGGCTCCAATTAGG